TGACCACTCTCTCTGTGAAGAATTGTTTCCTAATGTCCAGTCTAAACCTACCCTGGTGCAACTTGAACCCATTACCCCTTGTCCTATCATCTGTAACTTGGGAGAAGAGACCGACCCCCGCCTCTCTACACCCTCCTTTCAGGGAGTTGTAGAGAGAGATAAGGTCTCCCCTCAGCCTCCTCTTCCCCAGACTGAACACCCCCAGCTCCCTCAGCCTCTCCTCATAAGACTTACTCTCCAGACCCCTCACAAGCTTCGTTGCCCTTCTCTGGACCCGCTCCAGTACCTCAATGTCTGTCTTGTGGTGGGGGGCCCAAAACTGGACACAGTACTCGAGATGGGCTTCGTTGGGGCTGAATGCAAACCCAGCTGGGTGCCAAGGACCCAAGCGTGTGTGTCTGCAGTGTCTCAGCGTCCTCTCTGGCTGCGCTGACAGTCTCTCGGCCAGGTCTCATCTGTTACAACGCTGAGTTGTGGGCAGATCTGCTCAAGGGCTGCTATAAATAACAGCCTTTCCCGAGCGGCTCAGCGCTGCCCGAGATCCAGTTTCACTTCCAGAGAGCTCCCAGCCCTCTCTGCTGACATCCTGACCACTGGTTCCTGCGGCCACCAGCCCCAGGCTGTTGGACCAGTGGCTTTGCTGAGCCAGGGGAGCAGAGCTGAGGTTGCAGCCCCCCTTCCCCAAGTGGCTGTGGAGCAGCTGGTTCCTGCCACCACTTCCCCAGGCCCCGTTATCCGCTTGGATTCCTCCCACTGGCTTCTCCTTGTTTTGCTTGGGGGTTGAGCTGCAGGGATTGGGGGAACAGTCCTGCTTCAGCATTTCATAGAATGGTTTGGGTTGGAAGGGACCTCAAAGATCATCGAGTTCCAACCCCCCTGCCATGGACAACGCTGAGTTGTGGGCAGATCTGCTCAAGGGCTGCTATAAATAACAGCCTTTCCCGAGCGGCTCAGCGCTGCCCGAGATCCAGTTTCACATCCAGAATGCTCCCAGCCCTCTCTGCTGACATCCTGACCACTGGTTCCTGCGGCCACCAGCCCCAGGCTGTTGGACCAGTGGCTTTGCTGAGCCAGGGGAGCAAATCTGAGGTTGCAGCCCCCCTCCCCGAGTGGCTGTGGAGCAGCTGGTTCCTGCCACCACCTCCCCAGGCCCTGTTATCCGCTTGGATTCCTCCCGCTGGCTTCTCCTTGCTTTGCTTGGGGGCTGTGCTGCAGGGATTGGGGGAGCAGTCCTGCTTCAGCATTTCATAGAATGGTTTGGGTTGGAAGGGACCTCAAAGATCATCGAGTTCCAACCCCCCTGCCATGGGCAGGGACACCTCCCACTAGAGCAGGTTG